CCAACGCGGGACTCGATCCCAGGACCCCGAGATCATGACCTCAGCCGAAGGCAGACGCTTCACTGACTGAGCCCGCCAGGTGTCCCGGGCCAGTTTTGGTCTTAAACTAAGATGGGGAAGACAGGAGAAGAGGAGATGTGCTGCAGGGCACCGGGAGAAGGAAGTGTAGGTGTTCTTCCACTCGTACTTGGCATGTGACCAAGGAGAGTGAATTCTAACAGTTTCTGTTCAGAACTGTCAGGGTGCCATCTTGCCCTTGTGCTGGGGCGAGCCGGCCGTGGCGCTGGGGGCTGCGCAGGCCCGGTGCAGCCGGCTGGGGGAGCACTCCCACCCCCTGCTGATTGTACTGCAGTGGGGGCTAAGCCTTGTCCTTGAAGGAAGCCCAGCACGCCATGTCGGGAGACTGGGAAGACTGGGGTCACAAGCGTGGATTTTGAGTCCTGGTGCTACCACGAGCTCTGTGACCTTGGGGACCACCTTTAACCTCTCTAAGTCTTGGTTCCCTCGTCTTTCGAATGAGCTACTGGTACCCACCCTGTGGCTGAGGGAGAGGTGGTAGGAATGAAAACAGATGGCATACATGGGCTCCAGCAGAGCTGCATGAGGAGGAATGAACGGTATCTGCTGTTGTTGTGTTGTTAGGGTGCAAATACAGATTCTCCTGGGGGTGGGATACAGAGTCCCCGCCCCTGCCCTGACCACTCCATTTAAAGCTGCAGACCTCCCTTCCCCTTCTCTGTTTCTGATCCTGCTTCTCCTGTTCAACTTCTTAATTTTTCCTTGGCATTTAATACCTTCTAACATAGCGCATAATTTACTTATTTATTATAATTATTTTGTATTGTCTCTCCTCCATGCTGGGAAGGGATCTGCCTACAGGGTAGGTTCTTCACCTGTTCACTCGTTGTTCTCAGTAGCTAGAGCATCTCCTGTCCCAGGCACATAGAGATGCTTGATAAATACTGCTGAAATGGACGACTAGTTCTTAGACCCCTTGAGAATCCAATAAAAGTGTGAATTTCCTCCCCCTGGGTAGTAAGGATGGATCACATGCAAATGACATTCCTGTGTAAAATGTCAGACCCTCTTCAGCCCATTCTTCCAGAATACAAGGTGGGAAGGCCTGCATTCATAGAGATTTTGATGCTTCCCCGCCCCCTCCGCTCCCCAGGGGGCTTCCACATGGAGGTATGGACAGGTGTTTATCTGACTCTGCCCTGCCTTTGAATGCACTTGGGCCCAAATTCCTGGGCATCTGGATCCTTTCTTATTTCCATTTGAGAAATGGAAATCTCGAAGACTTTCAGATTAGCGTGTGGGCACAGAGCTTGGAAAGCAAATAAGACAGTATCAATTATGACTGTCCCTGTATAAGGATCTCTAGACCAAAAAAAAGGTACTGATTTGTGTTTAGAGCATTAACCCCAAGTTATTTACAAGTAAATTGACTTAAATATCAGTGGACAGTTTTGTGTGTGTGTGTGTGTGTTTTTAATAGAGCATGATGCATTATGCTGTCCGTTGCCCTTTTAAGCTGTATTTTATGATTATATGAATCAAGGAATAACCAAACATAAATTACAATCGCTGATAAAATCATAAAATAAGCTACTGCCATTCTTGCCTTGGTTACGTAGAAGCTAAAGCCCTTTGATTTGCTGCCCACATGACATGTTTCCAGAAGGAAAGGTCAGAGTCACGGGGTGCAGAAGCGGTCATCGAGGCGTGGTTGGGTGCCCTTAGAGGTGCTGGGATGATGGGGCTATGGTGAGTGTCTCGTCTTTGCAGATTCCCCTCGACGACTCTGGTGGTACCACTGGATCTGCTGGCTGCTCAGCGTGGTTGGGATCTTCTGCATCCTCTTGGCGCATGACCACTACACTGTGGACGTGGTGGTGGCCTACTACATCACCACGAGACTCTTCTGGTGGTACCACACGATGGCCAATCAGCAAGTGAGTGTCCCTCCTTGTGGGATTGCAGCGTCTCTTCCCCCCCGCCCCCAGCCCGGCGGTGCCCACGCAGCAGGGGGAGGGGGCGGGCCAACCGGCATCTAAGGTTGGGTTGTAAGCGAACAGGGAATGTGTGAGTGCAGCGACATGGACATAGCATCCTTCTAGAGCAAGGGCCGCCCTCCCACCGCCCCTGACAAATGTCTCGGCTGTGCCCACCGGCTGCACCCACCAGCTGCCTGGTCTCCCTCCCCCCCCCCCCCCAGCTGAGTCCTGAACGTCCATCGCAGAAAGTCACCGAAACACTGATTGAGGGATACATGTGTGGATGAGAGATGGAGTAAGGCCCGCGTTGTCCGTGCGCTCCCGGAATTGGCTTGTCTTCCTGCTGGGGTGTGGCCCAGTTAGCAGATGAACACAGAGTGGCCAAGTGCGTGTAACGGGGGCACGCAGGGCCCGTGGGGCGGGTCTGGGGTCCTTTGCGAACTGGAATAAGGAATAAGGAAACCATCTAAACTCTAGGTGGAAGGTGGTTAGCAAAGCGTGCGTGTTCCTTTTGGGGCGCGGACAGTGGCTCCCCCCCCTGACGTGGTTTTCCTGCCCTTGGTCTCCTAGGTGCTAAAAGAAGCTTCCCAGATGAACCTCCTGGCTAGGGTGTGGTGGTACAGGCCGTTTCAGTACTTTGAAAAGAATGTCCAAGGAATCGTACCTCGCTCTTACCACTGGCCCTTCCCCTGGCCAGTCGTCCACCTCGGCAGACAAGTGAAATACAGCCGCTTGGTGAATGACACATAACAGCCGCGCAAGGCCGGGGAGCGAGGAGCTGTCCGAAGTGCTAAGAACTCCGTGAGAGAAGATGCCATAAACAAACACCTCCCTGATCCTGTTCTCTTTCAAAAGTTACCTTGACTTAACCTATTGAGTTACCTGGTCAGCACTGTGATCTTTTTTTCTCTCCAAAGGACCTGCGTTGGACAACAATAAAGAAAATTTAACCTATCATGCACTGTACACATTTTCCTGTTCATAAGTTTGGGATTTCCATAACCTGCGACCACCATGTTCCTTTGTATATGATGCAACAGCATAAATGTAAGCTTTTATATCATCAGTTCTGGTCTTTCCAGGCACATCTGGAAATAAAGCGTATTATTTTCTTGGGAAAACATACTTTTCATATCTCTTGCCCCAAAGATTGGGCTGTAAGCCATTTTCTAGCAAATGTCTCTATGAAGGTTTCTAAGTACCTGAATGGGGTTCGATTCTGAAATCTTTCTACCTGTTGCACCGATATTCAAATAAAAATGACAGACACAGAAAGGTTTGGTAACTTTGGGTTTTGTAAAAATCAGCAGAGAGAGTGTGTCAAAAAGTGCAAAAAAAAGATTCTGTTATAAAGTGATTTTCTAAGTATTTCCTAACTTTATTTTTCAAAATAATGTTATGAAAACCAAATTTAAAGATTTTTACATGTTGGAGAGAAAAGAGTTAAAATTTAAAAATGCTTCTTGGGAGAGAAATTTGTCTATGTTTCTAGTGCCTTTCTTGTCTTGATTGTATGGTCAGTAGGCAATCTTAAATGTTTTTATTTAAAATAAATATTCCATGGAAATATAAATGTATGTATACACTACTAAATTTTGCATTTATAGCTAAATTAAATCAGAAGACTGCTTATGGTTTTTAAATCGCTGTGAATTAAAGAAAGGGGGAGTTAATCAGAAAGTCAGAACCTGTTCCCATATTGTGAGCAGGTAGCAATGACACGTACCACTTAAATTATTTTATCACCTATTTGGTAGTTCGATTTTAACTATACAGTGAAAATAGCCATGAATACTTTGTTTTTAAAAAGAGAGTTTTGAAAATGATCACTTAACTAAAAAACGTGAAAGCTCTAAATTAGTTATCCATACTCTCATGACAATTTTGTTGGTGAACAACAAAACAGAGATCTATTTCTTTAAAATATATTTGTGCAGAAACTGCATGTAACTCTAAGTTTTACTCCTAACATGAGTATGTTTGGGGAAGTATTCTCTTCTATACTTGCCAATGTGGAGAACAAAATAGTTTTTTAAGAATGAAGAAGTATATATATCCATTCTGTATTTTACGCAGCAGAATTATCTTCCGTAGGGTTTTTTTGTGTATTCACAAGGTGATATTTGTATTGTAAAACAATAATGGTGAAGGAAATAAAAAGGCTTTTAAAATTTTGTTTGTTTTAAATATTTGTAAAGTTACTATTCCAGAGAGTATACTGATATCTTAACAGCTTATCTAGATCATAAATTAATCAAAATGCACTTTTTAATAAAACCTGATCCTTAAAAAATAAATGGCTGTTATTTCTAATGTGTTCACATCCTTCCCAGAAGTCGTCGACAAAGTCATTAAAGCAAATACTGCATTTTTGGACCTTCTTCCTTGGTTTTGTTTGAGACAGGGCCTCTGGCAACCCTGTTTCTTTCCCCTTAAGGTTTCTGAAAGTGTGCAAGTGTCTTTTCAAAAATACATAAGAATTGAAAGTGCGTTGGATTCAAGCTACAGACCACGTTGGCTAGAGATGTCAGGCCGGTGAGATTTCCTGCGTGGGGCTCTGGACGTGTGTCTCCATCAGATGGTGGGATGGCCTCTGGAGGCAAGTTGGCTGGAATTCTGGGACGGCCATTTCACTGGCACAGCCTTCCCCTGACCTTGACTGTCGGACAGGTGCTGCGTATCGAGGGGGAAAGCAGCTTGAGTGACGAAAATGCAGTATGGGCACATGCTAAAAATTGGATCTTTTCTTCCTAAGTCAAGTGGTTTTCTAAAAAAAAAAAAAAAAATTGGTACTACAGGTTTGCATCCTACGTATGTCCTGAAGAAAATTCGTGCCTGACTGCCCTGTTCGTGAATGGACATACCCTGTGGCTCTCTGTCTGCAGATCCGGGAAGGACAGAGCAATCTCGTGTTCCGGAGAATCTAGTCCACTTGATGCCTGCCTGATAGAGGACATGCGCTTTTTTGTCCTTTAGTTGGCTGAGACAAAGCCCTGGACAGCTCCTTTGTTGGGCTCTCTTTATGAGGAGGGCATTTTACGTGTATTATCTTGTTAACCCTCACAAAACCAGAAGGTTAGTTACTACCCCGTCTTGCAGAAGGTGACTGATTGGGCTTCCGGTTTCCGCCGTCTCCCCAGCATCCCACACCCCCCAAATACTGTGAGTGTTCATAGATTGTACAGGAAGAGTCAGCCGTGGGAGAAATCGGTGCCTGTGCTGGAAAAGCCAAGTGGTACACCTCGTTATGAACTGAATAGTAGGCAATCCACATCATGAGGTGAGAGACGAGTTTTGCCAATTTCCTAACTGCTAAATGTTTTATTTGTATCCCAAATACCTAATTGATGTGATAAGTATCTCATAAACTTTATAAATATCACATAAAATGAGAATCCCTGTTAGCTTTAATTTGACCTTTGTTATACAAAAGTCAACCATGGAATTGAGTTAACTAGGGTATAGAATATGCTACTTGGATCCCTTGATACTGATTTTTTTTTTTAAAGATGTACTTATTTTAGAGAAAGAGGGTGCAGGGGGGATGGGCAGAGGGAGAGAGAAACGCAAGCAGACTCCCCACTGAGTGTGGAGCCCAACACGGGGCTTGATCTCATCATGACCCTGAGATCACAACCTAAGCCAAAAGCAAGAGTCAGACTCTGATGCTGATCCTCTTTATTTTTCTCTCCCTTCGGTCAGGAAACTTACTTCGAGCAAATCCAGACTTGATACTCTGCTTATCAGCACCTTAAAGTTCTTCTCTGTCTGCTGGTTCAGCACGAGTCACAAGAAAATTAAGCAACCTGCTAGGTCCAGACTCCAGCCTTCAGAGGTCAGAGATGGGCGTGGTCCGTGAGGGGAAGTTGCACAAAACTGGAATGAGGGAGGGAGAGGGTTGGGATCGTGGGGAAAGTGGCAGGACAGTGCAGACGGCCGGGGCTTACTATCGGTGAAGACAGGGAGGGAGGGTTTATCACAAGAGCTAACACGTGTGTTGCATGTGTGAGAAATCCTTTATGTTCTCGGGTGTTGGCCTAGCACTGGTGTCATTTAGGGTCTGGCAATTGAGAAAGTGCATGCTATGGATTTAGAAATGCCCTTGAGAATTTGTGGTTTGCCAGTGACAGCGTACGTGTAACGTCTGATCAACACGAACAGTACTTACACAGCCATTCGTTGTTCCACCAACACATCATGGTTGGTGAGCGCAAAGACTTGAGAGTCTCTTGAGAATTCTTGGGACAGGTTTACTGAAGATTTGAAGACAGAGATCAATGAGACAGGCAGACTCCCATGTTTTTCAAAGTTAAAGAAGTAGGGAGTCCAAATTCAGAGGCCTATGCGAACTCCCGTGTCCTAGTTCCTGTCTAGGAAGGATGTCTAGGGTGTGGCCCAGATGAGGACAAGGGAAGGCTCTGACACCCAAGAGGGACCGGCTCTGAGTTCCCTCCCAGCCCCCTGGTGGCCTAGAACTTCATGTGTTGTGATGCTCTCTTGTTAGATGCATACACATTAAAGGTGCTATGTCTTCTTGGAGGATTGACCCCTTTACTGTTTTGTCATCTCTCTATTCCTGATAATACTCCTTGTTGTGAAGTCTGCTTTGTCTGAAATGAAAATAATGACTCCAGCTTTCTTCTGATGAGTGTTCGCATGGTATATATCCTTCTCGACCCCTTTATTTTTACCTCTCTGGATCTTTATAAAGTGGGTTTCTTATAGAATATATCGCAGATAAACAGCATCTTGTTTTTAATCTATTCTATAATCTCTGTCTTTTTAATTGGTGTATTTAGACCTGTCACATTTAAAGTGTAATTGATAATACGGTTGGCCCTTGAACAATCCGGGTTTGGACTGAGCAGGTCCACTTACACGTGGGTTTTTTCAATAAATACAGTACTGTAAATGGACTTTCATGATTTTCCTGATATTTTTGTCTCTAGCTTTATTCTAAGAATACAGTATATAATACATATACAAAATATGTGTTCATTGTTATTGATAAGGCTTCTGGTCAACAGGCTATTAGTAGATAAATTTGGGGAGAGTCAAAATTTTTATGTGGATTTTCGACTCCCACCTCCCTTCCCCCCCCAACCCCAACAGCAGTTCATCTAAGTTACCATGTAAGTGTTCCTCATAATTTATGGCTTTAGTGGCTTCTGCTCCGTGCAAGGAGATCTCAGCTGTGACTCTGAGTGCACCTGTCTCTCCAGATTTGGAGGGTGGTGGCTGGATCCATTGACCCAAAAAAGTCATTTTTTGAAACGTTTGTCCAGCCTTTTCTAGTTGTAAGGATGGGAATGGTGACTTGACTCCAAAGCCCTTTCATGTTAAAGGTGAAACCAGAAGCCCTTGGTGACCCAGTTTTGGTGGGTCATTTATTTGACCAAATAAACTCATTTATTTGGTCAAATTTGGCCATTTATTTGACCAAATAAATTTGGAGGACAATGAATAAGCTGTTACCTGTAGAGTACCTTTAATGGCTGGACATACAAATTTGTGTCCTAATGACAATTGAAGACCTAAAAATACAAATGGCTGTTAGAGTCCGTTTTAATGACTTCTAACTCTCAACACACCGGGTGTCCAGAAGAACGTGAAGACAGTTAGCACTGGATTGGGGAACGGAGGGGGCACATTCAGGTATCTTAACTGCAAGTTTACTTCCTGGAGCCTTTAATTTGCTCTCCGCCTAGAGGACCTAGGATGCAGCCGAGCCCCAAAGCAAACCCAAACTCCAGAGGAACCTGAATGACTTTCCCTCCCCTTCTTTTTTTCTTTGGACTGCTCCCGTGGCTAGTTTCCTGAGAGCCCTGTGGCATATCCCAAGCTGGTGCCTGGGAAAGATCTGGTTAGTGACAAGTAAGACATTGGTTAGTAACAAATACGATTGCTTACGAGGAACATCAAAACATTACAAGAAAGTGTCAGGTGCCTACCGTCCAGAATGCTTGGTCTATTTTTGCCAGAGGGTTTACAGTATGTTCTGTTGGGTTAGTCGGTTTTTTTTCTTCTCAGTCCCTCTCTTTTTGGCTTGGACTAAGATAAATTCTAAATAGTTCAACTCAGTGGCTTATTGGCGCTTGGGATCTGCTCCCCTGGCCAGCTCTGTGTTGGGAGGATCTGGTATTGTTTTCATTGCTTCCTGCCGATAGTATCCATCAGCACGAGAGGAGAAGCCAAAGGATGTTTCGGCCAAAGCATTCTGTGTTTAATAAAGAGCCTGTGACTGCAGAAAGGCACACAGCGGGTTTTCCATGGGGGGATGTGTAGCCATGCTCCCTGATATCTTAGGATGTTTCAGGGGGGAAAGAAATCTTTTGGGAAAAAGCATGATCTGTTACAATGAACGTTTGTTTGGAAGGCTTCTCTGAAATCCTTGGCTTTGAGTTTCAAGAGGCCACAGTCCAATCGTTGCCAGGCTTATGGGAAGCGTGTTCATTGCCAGTCTGAGTGGTCCCCGGAACCTTCTGACCTCTGGCTGTGTTGGGCCATGACAGTGGCCCCTGGTATGGGTAAGCAGTGAGGATGCAGTGTGTTTGCAGCAAAAGCTTCCTTTCTGCAGACGCTCCAATGAGCCTAGCAGGTTCGGTCCAGCCTGGAGGCGGGCAGACACACTTGCCTAGGCGAGTACTAGCTGCCTTTCTCTGCGGGTTCCAGGGGCGGGCACGTAAAACAAATGACGAGAAGAGGAGCTAGGTCCAGTTGGGGTTGCTGGCACACGTCTGCCCTGGAAGTGTCGCTGGCCTGGGAGGTGGGTGCGTACTGCTGTGCTTAGGAGCTGAGCCCAGATGACCGCAGAGCTTGATCTCTACGCCCCTGTGGCTTGCCGGGGCCGCTCCAAACCCTGGGGCCGAGTGGCTGCCAAGTGAGGTTTCCCCTGGGGCTCCCGGTTCCTGAGCAGAGAGAAGCAACTGCAGGAGGGCAGAGGGATCCAAGCAGGGAGTCGAGCCAGAAGGTCCTGTTCTGTGTTCTTGTACAATCCCTGCTACCCACTGCACCTGGCACACAGCAAAAACAGTTGGGGTGGGGGCTGGGCGGCAGCATCGTACTTCCTTGGGGTGAGAAAATGTCAATGTACTCAGCACACAGAACCCCCACATACCACTAACATTCACCGAGTGTGAATTCAAACAAAAAGTCACCGAAATTAGACGGGAAGGTATCCGAAATGTCACTTTAACACATGCCAAGCATGGAAAACAGTGACAAAGGGGCTTCCTGCGGATCCGGACTATGGAAACTGGCTTAAGTTCTCCAGATGTTCAGGGTTTAATCGTGCATTAAAATCGGCGAAAGCAATGAATTCTCGCAGGCCCCGGGAAATTCATTTTCCTCTCGGGAATGAAGAGGGCCCCGATCCAAGTCCTTCTCATTTGACGAAGCTGAGGAAGGGTTGCTGGCAATCCTCCCTCTAAAGGAGGTCAGAGCAAGGACAGCAGGCTCACGGCAGAGACCTGCTTCTTTCTGCTCCGATTTCCAGCAGCCTGCTGGAAGTCCCGCCCGGGACTGCAGGAGATGCACTGGTGGGATGTGGGGCGAAGCCTAGGGGGGCCCCAGAGGGCAGGTGAGCCTCAAGGCCTGCAGAACACAAGCTCCTCTGTCAGGCAAATGGCTCTTCCCGGGCTGTTCCGTGATTCGTTGTTTGTGCATAACACCCAGTGCTCCACGCA